GAGAGAGGAGGAGGAAGAGAGAGTGGGGAGAGAGAGAGGAGAAGAGGAGAGGGAGGAGAGACAGAGAGGGAGGAGGAGGAGAGAGGAGAGACGAGAGGGAGGAGGAGAGACAGAGAGAGAGAGGAATGGGGAGAAATAGGAAGCAGAGAGAGAGAGGGAGAGGAGGGGGGAGAGAGACAGAGAGAGAGAAAGAGAGAGAGAGGAGGAGAGACAATACAGAGAGGGAGGGCGACAGAGAGAGAGAGAGGGAGGAGAGACAGGAGGCAGAAGGCGGAGCAGAGAGAGAGAGGGAGGAGAGAGGCAGGAAACGGGAGAGGGAGGAGGAGACGACAGAGAAGCAAGAGGGCAGGGGAGAAATAAGAAGCAAAGAGGGAGATGGAGGAAGCAGAGAGCAGGGGCGAGGAGGGAGAGAGAAGAGCAGGAAGAGATATGCGAGGGGAGGGGAGGAGGAGGAGAGACAAGAAGAGAGAGAGAGGCAGGAAAAGGAGAGACAGAGAGAAGAGAGAGAGAGAGAGAGGAGAGGTAGAGAGAAGAGAGATGAGAGAGAGGAGAGAGAAGAGAGACAGAGAGGGAGGAGAGAGAGACAGAGAGAGCAGAGAAGAGAGAGGGAGGGAGAAGGAGGAGAGACAGAGAGGGAGCGACGGAGAGAACAGCAGGATCAAGAAGAAATTTGACTCTGACAGGCTGTAAGTCTCAAACATTCATAAGCGTCATCATAACATTTGAAATCTGTAGACAGAGGAAGAACAGCTACGTAACAACTGCTCCAATGAAGAAGATAATGAACAGATACAGTCAATAAAAGTCGACGTAGCCCTGTGAAATATTTAACGTTTATCATCATTTCGCCTCAAAATCATTCCAGTGAAACGCTCGGCCTGTGCTCATCTGGCTCTTAACTCCAATGTTTTCCGCTTATTAGAGTCTGTAGTTCAGATAGTTGCCGTCATACGAGGTCCAGTAACATCTGTCTGGGTTGTGAACGCACTCTCTCTGTGAACACTCTCATGTTCTCCCTATTAGTTATACAGCAGGTAGTGGCGAAAGGAATTACTTCCTTTTCCCTATCAGATCGGTAGTAATCCGCATCCTACAAAGAATTCACGTTTCCGTGCTGAAAATGTTGAGATCTCTCTAAACTGAACTTTCCACGCATTGTAACCCGTCGCACGCGTCGCCCAGCAGCATGATGCCAACATGCCGCCTTTGTTTGATCGTCACGTGCAGGGTCTATAGTATACTGTTACTAGTACGTATATAGGCTGGTAGTGACATATTGTTACCAAGGCATGTAGAGAACATGGGTCCCAATATACCAATGATCATTTACGATGTCATATAATCTATAGCCGCGTCAAGTGCCGACAGGGCTATAGAACGATAATATGGCAACTTCCAGTGAGTAAGCAAAGACAACTTTGCCGAGAATAATTCTTTCGGTATGGCGCCAAATAAAACACATTTCTCTGCCGGACAAATGTCTTAAGTTACTACAAACACTAAAATCGAAGACAAAACTAACGCTCTTATATATTTGTACTTGCCGATATTACTCGTCGACGAAGATTGTTTATCAACTTGTTATACGCCATTTCTCGTTTGCGGTGCTCGCGCCGGGTTCTCCGGCGCTAGTTGTAGTAGTGGCGGGCACAATGTATTTCCAAGTGGAGGGGTGGGCCAGTTTGCACGGCGGCATAAACCGCCACTTTTTCGTTCGCAGCGCATAGCGCGGTTTGCAGCTGCGGCATGTAACCTTTCACCCACTTCCACTTGTTTTGCTCTCTTTCTATTGTTCTTTTGTTTTTCTCTCTATATTTAAAATATCTTTTCATTCCTTTATTTTAATTTCCGCTTGGCTTCGTTGTTGATTCTTTGTTCTTCTTTATGTGTGGATATCTTTCCTTGGATTCTTTTTTTATTTTCTGCTTTGGTGATTTATATTTGGAATAATATGTTCCACTCACTAGCGAAAAGCCGGTTACAAGTTAAAAGTTACAATACTTCGTCGACGAGTAATAAGCAAAGTACAAATATTAAACGTAGTTGCGCATGTTTAATTTTAGTGTATTGTAGTAAACTTAAGACATTTGCCAGCAAGAATGCTGTTTATTTGGCAACCGACAAAAGTTATTATTGGAAGAATTGTCTTTGCTTACTCACTGGAAAATTGCCATATTACGTTCTAAGCCACTGCCGGCAACTGTACCGGGCTATAGTCGTAGAGCTAGCGCGTAGTATAGGCTATAGGCTAGCTGCTGGTATTATAGGCCGCGTACATTGGACTGCGCGGGCTCTAGTAGACATTTTCAGCTCGATGTCGATGCTGCAAACAGTCTCAAGTTTCCAACGAAAAATCGCTTTACAACACGCAAAATGATCGGCTTTTATAACTCATCTGTTCTACATGGACATCTCCCCTATCTTTTTGGAAACACTTCCAGCAACTCATTACCATTAATTTATGCATTGTTATTACTCACAACTGGTGAGGGCGTGAGGCAAAACACAATTCGTTTTGAAAATTGTGGCTGCTCGAGACGCGGACGTACAGCCGGATTATGTAGAGCAAAACACATGGCAGCTAATGGTGCATGATATATACAATACCGAGTGAACATATGTGATACGCACACCAACACAATATTTCAAAACGGAATTGTGATGTTTTATGCCTACTGCGGAGTAATAGAAAGCACATAAGTAAATGGTGTAAATGTGTGGAAAGCGTTCAAGCAGATAGTGAGATGCATCCACGTAGATAGATAGAGTGTTAAGAAGCACCGATCAATTTTGCAGTTCTGTAAACCAATTTGTCATGTGGAAATTTGGAAACTTGTTGCAACAGCGAAATCGAGCTGAAAATGATTCTATGAGGCTTACTTTGACTCTTTTATTTTACTTTTAGTCTTTACTTTAGTCTTATAGAGCTATCTGAGACTGAGTTATCTCAAATTCAATCCACATCTCGCACTGCACTGCACATGGCACTGTAACTGTCTTCAATAATCATTATATTGTGAATTAAGGGCAAATTGTATAGACTACCAAAGTCTTAAAAATAATGTATATATACTTGTTCTGCAACTAGTAATTCCACATAAATACCGTTAAAATGCACCTCTGCAACACACTGTCTCACCAAATTGACCAATGACACCATAAAGCATAATCACGCCTGCACTCAGGCCAAAACAAAATATAGGTTGTGGTTACCGTTTCCCGACCGACCCTATTTATTCAGCGACCCTAAACATTTTATTGTCAATTTTCTTTATAAAGCCAAAAAAAATATAAAAAAAAATTAAAAAAAATATGAATTGGACAGTTCCTGCTTCAAAAGGCACAACGCACATCCTTCAGACTTGGTTCGTAAATAAAATGTTTCAATAAAATAAAATGTTTTCCCTACCTACCTACCCTATTTTTTTTCGGCATGAAACGGTAACCACACCTATATTTTGTTTTGGCCTCATTCTCACAGTTGTGCTAAACTCGGGCTAACGCTCCATTAGGAGTGTTCCCAACTTTGATATCATTAATGATTAATGATTAATGATTAATGATTGATAATCCTAACCCTAACCCTAACCCTAACCTATAACATAACCCTAACCATTAATGGATTAAAGATTTTACTCCTAATGGAGTATCACCCTAAACTCGTTCGGGGTGATAAACTAGGATTGGGCCCACATGCCACTAAGTGCCCAAACTCACAGAAATATACAGGTGGGGTTCGAAGTGTGAGTGCCAAATTCGCATAACGTTGGCTTTGTGTTCACTACAACCAAAATATACAATATGGCGAAACGAGCGATGTATGAATTCGGCACTTACGCTTTCCCACCTGCTTTATCTTTCTTTGGCTTTGTGCGCAGTTCAATGCAGTTTTGCTGTGAAACCATGTGTTGCATAGGCACATCTAAACTGCATTTACAACAAACTGTTACTAGTAATCAGCAAAAGAGAGTAGTAGATAAACATTAAGACTTTGGTTGTAAATACATTTAGTGTTTATTTACCATTATTTTATTATTGAAGTGGCCCAAATGCCTGTAGCTCACTCCCCATTCAGTGATAGTGTTATTCTTGATCTTCACACTTTCTCAACTCATTTTGTGTGTGTAAAGATGCACACCATGACCATGTATATATTAAATGCACCAGCTGCATGTATATATTTGATGCACCAGCTGTTATTGTTATAATTGTTAGCTGGCAGCAGCTTCAGGATAACTAAATACTTATAGTAGCAATCAGGAGCTAATCTAGCTGTTTAATATGGGCATTAATATGCATAATATGCTTAATATGCATGGCGAGCGTAGCAAGCGCAATGTATAGGGCTCGTACATGTATAATAACATTAAAATTAATATCACCCTGATATATAACACAATTGTTTCAATATATCCATGGATATGTTTTCTTTTTACCACAGATAAGTAACATAATGAACCACTAGCTTTGCTAATTTGGGCGTTTTGCTAGGGGTCATAACTTGGGCGCCGGTATTCGGTATGAAAAATGGCTTGGATTAGGCTTAATCCTGATCTTCACAATTTATCAACTCATTTTTGTGTGTGAAGATGCACACCATGACCGTATATAATATTGAATGTAATTACACTGGCTGTTATGGTTATAGTTGTTACCTGGCATCAGATTCAGGATGACCGAGTACTTGAAGTAGCAATACTGCAACACAGCTCCAGAACTACTGAAACTACTTCCATATTCACCTTCTGTTAACATCTCTAAGTGCAGCTTCTTCTTGTATACAATGTCATTAGGGTGTCTATACTCTCTGTCTATGGGGTAATGGTTTTTTCCATGACAAATACTATATGCACTCTCTACTTCTGCTATAGCCATAAACTCACACCACCTTCAAAATTCCTGAGCTGGAGTTAGCCATGCATCCTTCCACCTATGTACGTCCATGTGGTTACTAGTAATGTATTAGCAATTTTTAATGAAGCCTTCATGCATTTTTTCAGTCTGGGGTTCTAGAAGGCGTGCTGGTAATGTCACTTGTTGGTGCATTCAGGTAAGTTTGCTTCCGATCGATATCATTCTCGCTCAGTTAGTCGATAGAGAAATATTTTAACTTGTAATACTAGGTGATTGTGTTTCGTAATAAAAAATAGATCCAGTTGCAATGTCCAATTTTAAATTAAAGGAAAGAGCCAGGAACAGCTTAGTTGCAGCTGTTAATTATTCTTTTCTAAACTTAAGCATATATCTTAAACAAAAATACCGCTGTGTTTTTCAGTGTAAAGGGAATGATATTGGTTATTAATTGCAAGTATAAAATCCTGGAAAATCCTACCAAACGCCATGATGCCAAACAGGTACACTTTAATTTCTACTAGAGCTTTGAAGTCATTAGAAAGATATTTACATTCATTTAAAAATAAAATTTAATACACATGCTAGGATGAGACAATATGGATAGCTCAAGATACGATCTGTATTGCACTACAGCCTTCACGATATGATATGTATGGCGACACTTTCAAGAGAAACTACCTAGCAAACTATACACTCAACCAGAACTCCACTAATTATGCAGTGTTATGTGAACGCTTACAAATTAGTACCATTGAGTGCTTAGTAAACAGCTGCTATGGAATTTCGAATTGTGATAAATTTCTTTTTGTTTTTGGATAAAAATGTGCTACTAAATAAATATAATATGAATTTTAGTCAGTAGAATATTGATATATGTGTTGTGAATGGTCAAGTGTATCTATACGTGTATCATCAAGGTTTGTATCGCAATACGTCAACATGTTTATGAATCGTCCCACCCCTACATGAAAGGGTCCAGTTTATTTCAACACAGTGAATTTTGATATCGTAGCACCATTACATTTTGTTAAAATATCAAGTTCAATAGGCATCTACAAATAATTAATTACATTTGAACATTTTCTAGGGGAAAATTGTGTTGCCACAGCATAACTTGGAAGCTGATACCGAACGGTTGTTAGATACAGATGACCCGGATGTCATGGTGAAAAAGAGAGCACTTAAACAGTGTGCCAGTGAAGATAATATGAACTATGGTGATGTGGGTAAGTGGTTTGTATTGTAAGCAATTTTAAAATGTTAACATAACTCCTGCTGCTAATTAAGGCAATAAGTGAGGATCAGTAAGTTAGATCTACTGACTCCGGGTAATTTTGGAATCTGCAGTTTAATATTTTTATATCATAGACAATTCTGTTATGTTTGCAGCAGTTGCAACTGTAATATGCCATGAAATGTTGGCATGAATTTAAGCTCCTATTGTAGCTTGATTTCTATTCTTTGTCCAATGGGATAATGTGTCAACATAATGGAATTTTCCGATACAACGTTACAGTGTCTTGGAAAGCCTGCCTACCATTTCTTCTGAGCACTATAACTTGTATGGAATCCATATGGTTTCAGGTTGGTTCAGTACTAATTACTAATTAGGCAATGTTACATGTTTAGGTTACCATGCGATCGGTAGAGTGGGTCGCATGCTTGTAGACGTAGCCCTGCTAATTTCACAACTTGGCTTCTGCTGTGCCTATCTTATATTCATCTCGGAGAACCTTGGAAGTTATGTAGAAAAGATAAGCAAGTAAGTGCTAGGTGTGGAGTTAAACAACTGTAACCTCTAAGTCTGCATGTCATTTAAGTCAATATAGATCTCATTCAGAACAAAGTAGGAACATGTTATGATCAGTGAATGTCATGGATTTTTAACTTGGTTAGCACATCGCTAATCAAAAGATGAAATTGATGAGCATGTGTTGCAAAACATGTAACTATTATTCTTAAAAAATGTAAGCATTATTTTACGAGTCTAAAACGATCTGATTTCTGTGAAAATTAAAGGTCAGTGAAAAATAAAATTTATTTTATGTAATACGGAAACAAAATTACCGATTCGCAGTTTGCTAACCCATATGAAATATGATTTGCAAAAGGCTTAAAATTGATTGTAAAAGTGTGGTGCTAAACTTAACCTGCTCATGGTGTACACTGGTTATTATGCGTGTCAGATAATTCGACATGTGTTTAATTTAAACGAGAGAAATAAATCAGAAGACTAGAGATAGATTTCTGCTATGAATTAACTAAAATAACTGTTAACTATGAAAAATTATTGTAATGTATCTGTATTGATAATCATCAGAGAACTGCTAGAGAAGTGAGTTGATATTTTATATACTTTTGTACGAATGTAGATGACTGTGTTTGACAGTAACAATTCTTATAATAGCTACATTCGCATGATATGCTCTGCTTTAGGAGTGACTGGCTGCTTATTATGCTTCCTTTCCTGTTTCTACTGACATTGCTCAGAGAATTGCACAGTCTTGCACATACAAGGTGAGTGTATCTCTACTCCTATATTCATTTTATCAGGAGTAAGATAATATAGGATCCTATATTATCTTACTCCTGATTTTATTTGTTCAACATGTATTAGATGTAAAATGAGTACCATAAACTATGTGCAATCAGATATTTATGCAGAGATCCACAATGTAATATGATAATCGGCTGAATCTGCGCGATAACTTCCAATATTGTCTGTTGTTGAAATAGAACATACAATATTCTTTAAAAATAAAATAAACATCGTATATTATTATATAAGACATTTAATACCTCTAATCATTTAACTATACTTAGTACTTGCTTATTATGTAGTAGCTATTCTATTTCTGCTAAACTATATATGTACTTTATTAATATACTGTAATTCTATTGTCAGTATAAATTTTGAAAATATTGTGCCATAAATGTATAATATGTGTAATAATTGACTGACTGTGACACTGATTTCAGTATGTTCGCTCAAGTCTCCAACTTGTTGGCTTTCCTTGTCGTATTCTGGTTTGATTTTGAGCATTGGTCACATGCCACGTAAGTTCTATTCTACTTTCAACTGCATTGTTTTTTCATGTTACACTGGTTCATTCTGTAAGTTCTGCATTCCTTGTTGGGCAGTATATAGTTATTTCTAGGCAGTAGTTTGCATGCGAGGACAGAAATGTTAATTAGTTGGAGGCAAATCTTTGCCGAGGACTGGGATAGAGCATGCATACAACAACCAGTTAACATGTTTTGTGGCCACTGCAGAGCAAGAATTCATCCGAAGGAGGTTTCACTCAAGGGATTTCCACTATTTTTCGCTGTGTCAATCTACTGTTATGAGGTAATTCAATGATGTGCTTTGTAAGCTACTTTTCAATGCATGTGAAAAGTGATTAATATTGTAGCAATGGCAAGATTGATACGAAGTAGTTCTTTTGTCTTTAACTGTGGATGATCAATGGCACAATGACTGAATAAGTTTTTATGTATATGTTTGTGTTTTGTACAAGGGGGCTGGCATGATACTAACACTGGAACAATCAGTGGCCAAAGAGAAACGTCATCTATTTAACGGGTGAGTTCTTGTAAATCAATTGAGTGCATTTGGTAGAATTACCTATTATAATATAGTACAGTTCGACCTCGTTTATCCGGCCACTATATCCGGAAACCTCTATTAACCGGCCGCGATCTCGCAGTGTATGTTCTCTATTTTTTTCATTCATTTCCACCTAAAAATCTCGCTCAAAACTCGCTCAAAACTTGCGCGATGTACGAATGATTCTCGCGCGATGTACACATTGATTATCGTAAGAGCGCACAGCTATCAGATGCACAAAACAAACACTTACCGTAAGAGCAAACGCCCATGTACATGTACATGTATAAATATACGGCTATCACATGCACAAATGAGCAAACGCCCATGTACATGTACATGTATAAATATACGGCTATCACATGCACAAAACATGAACACATAAACATGCGATGCGCTTGTACATGTATCGAGTGCTGCTCACACAGCGATTGCATCATTCCACTCGTATGCTATCACATGCTCAAAACGCACGACCGTGCACATGCATGATAGCAAGAGCGTATAAAGAAGGAGAGCATACAACGGTGAAATGCTGAAACCATGTTGCAGTATTAGTCGAATTAATAAACACCGCACAGATTTTGACCGCTCATTATCTCAGCGTAGAGGCATCGTAGGGACACGTGGTTTGTTTTATATTAGCAAGGTAGGACAGCTGATCAATAATACCACAAAGAATCGTCAAAATAAAACGGGCAAAGTTTATTAATTCGACTAATACTGGCAGCATGGTTTCAGCATTTCATCGTTGTACGCACTCCTTCTTAATACGCTCTTAATGATAGACAACAGGTTTTATAGTGGACTGCTTTGTTATCAAACGGGCCTTAGCTTAAGCCTAGCGCAGACTTGCGACTTTTTCATGCATCTCGGCAGCGACTCTAGAAACCATAAAACACGACAGTTTCTTACAAATAATCATAGCAACGAGTAAATACATTATCACATGCATAAACCCTACAGAACTGCATAGAAATGCTGTGTTTGAGCATAAATCGCATATCCGGCCAAATCAAATATCCGGATGGGTGCCGGTCCCGACGTGGCCGGATAAATGAGGTCGGACTATAAATAGATAATGGATTAGAGTAAAAAAGCCTTTTACCTCCGCGCAACGGAGGTCATGTAATCGGTCTCGTGTGTGTGTTCGTGTGTGTGTTCGTTACCTCCGCGCAACGGAGGTCATGTAATCGGTCTCGTGTGTGTGTTCGTGTGTGTGTTTGTGTGTGTGTGTGTAGCGTTGGCGCGATCGATTCAGCACCAGCTTGCCTTAGGGCGTCCAGTCAGCAGCAGCTCGCCTTAGGGCGTCCAGTCAGCAGCAGCTCGCCTTAGGACATCCAGTCAGCAGCAGCTCGCCTTAGGGCGTCCAGTCAGCAGCAGCCAGCAGCGAGCCAGCTGTTATACACACGTATACATGTTACACGCTCACGGAGGTATGCACTCTCCGTGAGTGCCCTCTGTCTAGTGTTATTAATGAATCATGTTGTGGTGAATTTTTTTTTACTCAAACAATACTATCCAGTTCAAAGAATTAATGCCTAGTCCAAATTTTACATTCTAATAATAATTGGAGGGTACGTGACAAAATCATTTTCAAAGCTTTGTGATTATCTATCTGGTGTGTTGTACCAAACACTGGTGAACTGGTAAACACCTATAATGTTATTTTGATTTCTTTTTCAGGTATTTTGTGCGGACAATGGTTGCTGTGACAATTCTTTACATTGTGTTTGGTGCTTGCGGTTACATGGTAAGATTTTTCAATGCAGTACTTTATGCACTACATCTCTACAAGTACCTTGTTATAGAAAACACATATACAGACAGACACAGACACACATACAGACACACACACACGCACACACAGACACACAGACACACACACACACACGCACACGCACACACACAGACACATGCACACACACACACACAGACACATGCACACACACACGCACACACACACACACACGCACACAGACACAAACGCGCACACACGCAGGCACGCACGCACGCGTGCACACACGCAGGCACGCACGCACGCGTGCACACACACACATTGTGCTGTTGTTTATAAGTCATGTTACTAATAGGAAAGTTAGTAATATCAGGCTGATTGACATTCTCATTTTTTCTGCTGTGCACGCTTGTCAATTATGTTATACTGTTTGTTTTATTTTATAGTCCTTTGGACTCGAAACAAATGAAATCATCACGTTGAATCTTCCAAAAAATTCAGCTATCGACTTTTCTGTGATGGTGAAGTGCTGCCTCTGTCTAGCTCTATTTTTCACTTACCCAGGTAAGTGTTACATGATACTAAGATAATCTAAGGAATCTAAGGTAATCGCAAGTATCGCATTCCTGTTTTAGTAGCAGCAGTTTATTAAGAATATCACCTAAGTCTATCCCGGATACTCTATTCCTGAGTAACTTAATTATTCTTCCATCTATCGATTTGAAGTGACCCTTGTGAGTAGCTATTGTAAAGATGATATATACCTTTGGCAAAGTTAGGCTGCGTACATGCTTTTTAGCTCAGCTGACGAAGTCAGATGCAGCTTGTAGAATCGCATGATTGTCCGTCCGTCCGTCCGTCCAATTTTGCCCTGGTATGGTTTCTTCCCATCATCTACTAATTAATACGCTCACGCCTTGAACTATTCAAGAGCGTAGGTCGTCCCGTTTGAGATTTTGTGGCAATTTCTCTGTATTTCCTCCTATACATTGAGTAAGGGGGAATCTTCCCCCTCCATTGACACATGACACTCCATGAATCCGTTTGACGCTTGACCCCGCAAATTAGACATCCGATCCCCTTTTTCGATCCCCCCCCCCCGACGCTAACTGCAATATTAAGACCCGGACGTAGAGGCGGTTAAGATTTTGCCCATGTGAC